TCAGTATGACTATCGGCTACTGTAGTGTGGTTTGTATATTTCGTTGTTATAATTCTATATATAAAATTGTACTTTGTTCTTAATTTGTCAGAAGGTCAGGGAAGATAAGTTTTACCCTAAATGTGTTTCTCTCTTACAAAAATAAAGTCATTACTTACTAACTTACTTACTTATATTTCCTCTAAAATTTCTATCTGGCCTCATGATTTTTTTAATGCATGACAACATGGACAACTCGGACCAAAGACAAGTCAGACCAAGACAACTCGGGCCGCTTTAAAAAAAACTAAGACCAATTTAAAGACACCTCGGACCACTTATAAAGACAACTATAACCACTTTTGAAGACAATTCGGACCCGTTTAAAAGACAACTTGGACCAGTTTAACAACTCGAACCACTTATGAAGGCAATACAGAGGATTTTACTGATGGTAGACTACCGGTACCAGTACGACTTCTGACATTCTCGTTGCATGTAAAGATATTTGTTGTTAAATTATTTTAGGGATGCATCTATTCATTATCAGGGATATTTTTTTTTACAAAATATACAACTTTCAGTTACTTATATTAATTATTTTCAATAAGGTATTGAGGTGATCAGTCTAATTGCTCTCGTTACAATCAATAGTAACAGAAATATCGTAAAAACAAACAAGCTTATTAAAATTCATTAATGGAACTCAAGTCAAAGGAGATGTTTTTTTTTTCAATTTAAATTCTTTATTAACTTTGAGCCTTACGACTCGTCAGTGTATTCAAATACAAAATATACATATTCATTATCAGTTGTTGGGATATACAAGTACCCGGCCACGTCCACTCTGTGTTTCTGTTAGATGTATTTCTATTTGTATCCATCTGATGAGTTAAGCCTTTTTCAACTGATTTTTATATTTCGTTCTTATGTTGTACTGTTACACCACTGTCCCAGGTTAGGGGGAGGGTTGGGATCCCGCTAACATGTTTAACTCCGCCACATTCTGTATGTATGTGCCTGTCCCAAGTCAGGAGCCTGTAATTCAGTGGTTGTCGTTTGTTGCCGTGTTACATATGTGTTTTTCGTTCATTTTTTGTATATAAATTAGGCCGTTAGTTTTCTCGTTTGAATTGTTTTACATTTGTCATTTCGGGGCCTTTTATAGCTGACTATGCGGTATGGGCTTTGCTCATTGTTGAAGGCCGTACGGTGACCTATAGTTGTAAATTTCTGTGTCATTTGGTCTCTTGTGAAGAGTTGTCTCATTGGCAATCATACCACATCTTCTTTTTTATATATATAAAATTGAGAATGGAAATGGGGAATGTGTCAAAGAGACAACAACCCGACCAAAGAGCAGAAAACAGCCGAAGGCCACCAATGGGTCTTCAATACAGCGAGAAAATCCCGCACCCGGAGGCGTGCTTCAGCTGGCCCCTAAACAAAAATATGTACTAGTTCAGTGATAATGGACTTCATACTAAACTCCGAAATATATAAAAGAAACTAAAATTAAAAATCATACAAGACTAACAAAGGCCAGAAGCTCCTGACTTGGGACAGGCGCAAAAAACGCGGCGGGGTTAAACATGTTTTTTGATATCTCAACCCTCCCCCTATACCTCTAGCCAATGTAGAAAAAACAAACACACAGCAATACGCACAGTAAAACTCAGTTTAAAAGAAGTCCGAGTCCGATGTCAGAATAGGTAACAAAAGAAACTCAACAAAATGACAATGATACATAAATTAACAAAGGACTACTAGCAGTTACTGACATGCCAGCTCCAGACCTCAATTAAACTGATTAAAAGATTATGTCTTCATCGTATGAATATCAAGCACAATCCCTCCCGTTAGGGGTTTAGTATCATACCATCATAAAATATATGAGAAGAACATAACCCGTATCATGCTAACAACTGGTTTTAGAATAAATGTGTTTATTTCCGATGCAAAGACCCTATAAGTGAATCAATATTAAAGCCAAAATATGCCATCTTTAATGACCTGACAATGTATCGTAACTATATCCCTTTTTAATAAGTCTGTTTAAAGGTTTTGTATGGCATATTACAAACAATTTAACAATATTTATAAATAACAATATGTGACGTCAAAAGTTTCATGTTTACAAAATGTCTTTACAATAAACTGTTTCTTAATTTAAAAGAGAAATGTATATACTTTCCCAAGTTTTCACCAGACAATAATTCTATTAATTAACTTGAAAGATGTATTCGTTTAGAGTATGACCAAGCCGTCGAAATCAACATAACTGCTAATTAAACAGGTATTTTGGGTCAATCTAGTGTTCGACGAAGCCGGTAAGTTGCCCTAGTCCCATAGCAAGTTATGATGGTCAGTGAGGAGAAACTGAGGAGGTACAAAGAAAAAGATGACAGGTTCAACCCAAGCTATGATACATAATATCTGGGGAGGGGGAGGGGGGATTATTTTTAAAAAGACAATGTTTTCATATGCCATATTTTTAGAGTCGTCTTGAGTTATCCAAGTTGTCTTTAAGATGTCATTAAAAAAATTACCCCAATTTGTCTGAAATTTCTTCTTCTTCTTTCAGTTTCCGCACTCCATCATAATATTGATGACTATGTGCCGTGCATGCGTGGGTAAAATTTACGAATATATATTTACATCAAAAAATAAATAAAGAAATAATAACTTGTTTTTGATTTCACTGTACATATATAAGATAAAACTATTTACAAGGTGTTACAATTACATGGTGTAGTATTGGTTGATAACAGATGTAGGAATCTGTTCTCTGAAGGCTTCAACTGTGGTGCATTGGACAGCAGTAACTGGTAAAAGGTTCCATTGGATGATTGTCCTTGGATAAAATGAGAATTTATATGAGTCTTTTTTTTGCCTGTATGTGCCTGAATGAGTGACTGTGAGTGTATTGTCTTGTTCAACTGTCTGATGGTATTAACAAGTTCGTATGGTATATTGCTACTTGGTGGTGTATAATTTTGAAGAAAAATATAAGTCTTGTTCTTATTCTTCTAAGTTCAAGCTTTGGCCAGTTGAGATGGTTAAGCATGTTTGTCACAGAGCTGGTGTTATGGTATCGATTGCATGTATACCTGGCTGCTCGTCTTTGGATCATTTCTATTTGTGATTTTTGTGATTTTGTATGTGGGTCCCAGATGCAGCTACCATACTCTAGCTTTGGTTTCACAAGTGAGATATAGGCCTTTTCTTTAACTGACTGTGAGCTGACTTTAAGGTTTCTTTTGATAAAATTAAGTTGTTTAGTTGCATTTGCTGTGATGTTACTTATGTGTTTGTTAAATTTTAAATCAGTTTGTATTGTTAAGCCAAGATATTTAGTAGATGTTTCTTGTTGCAAAGTGTGCCCATGTAAGATGTAATCATATGGGAAAGGGGTTTTCTTTGTTGTTACTTGGAGGACTGAACACTTGTCCGGATGGAAGGACATGAGCCAGTCCTCTTCCCACTTTGCTGCTGCTGTTAGGTCTTCTTGTAATTTTTCTGAGTCATGTTTATTTTTGATTGTTTTGTAAATAATGCTGTCATCTGCGAAAAGTCTTAGAGTGCCATGTTTAATATATTCATTTAGATCGTTTATGTACACCAGGAATAGGATAGGACCTAGTAACGATCCTTGCGGTACTCCTGATGTGACATATATTTGTTCAGATTTGGTGCCTTCCAGTAATACTGTTTGTGTGCGTAGTGAGAGAAAGTCCTCTATCCAATTCAATGTTTTGTTGTCGATACCATAGTGTTTAAGTTTATAAAGTGGTCTTTTGTGAGGGACTTTGTCAAATGCTTTGGCAAAGTCCGTCACAATTAAGTCAGTTTGAATGTTATCATTGCTATTTTATGCAAGTTCTTGTATGAATGATACCAACTGGGTTTCGCAAGATCTTGAGGAGCGAAACCCATGATGTAGATCGTATAGAATGTTGTTATTTTCTAGATGTGCCATGATGTTACTTGCTAATATGTGCTCCATGATCTTACATAGAATGTATGTTAGGTATATATAGGCCTGTAGTTGATAGGATTATGTTTATCTCCCTTTTTGAATATTGGGCAGACGTTTGCTTGCTTCCAGTCAGTAGGTATTTTTCCGGTGTTCAGGGATTTTTCGAAGATTAATGTAATTATGGGTGCGATGTCAGTACTAAGTTCTTTAAGCACACGCCCATATATGCCATCTGGCCCTGTGGCCTTGTGTGGGTTAATCTTTTCTAAGAGTTTCAGTGTGCCTCTCTCTGAAATTTGTTTGTTGTTCATTTTTGGATGGTTAGAAATTCCCTTGTCAGGTATTGTTTCACTGGATGTTTCTGTTGAGAATGCCTTCTGGAATTGGCTGTTTAGTATATTGGCCTTTTCTTCGGTGTTATCAGTAAGTATGCCATCTTTTCTTAATGCTGCAATGCCTGAACTATCATTTTACATGTTTTTGATGTAACTGTACAAGATTTTAGGTTGTCTTTTAATTATGTTGTTATCTGGCTCGTTTACTGGGAGATCAAATATCATGTTCTCGATGTAATTCCAATACGATCTTCTCATATCTGTTTGAATTGATTTTTTGAGATGCTTGTACTTTTTCTTCAGTTGTTCATTTTTTCTGCTCTTTTTATGAAGTAGTTTAGCTTTGTTAATGTCAATTTTAAGTTTGTTATTAACCCATGGTAATTTTTTCTTGTTGGTAACTATTTTGTGTGGGATATTTGCCTCTATTGATTGTGTAAGAGCTTCTGTGAATGTATTCCATAGAATATTTGAGGTTGATTCTTCAATTTGATCTTTAATTTTGTGTATAAAGTAATTAAAGATATCAGGCTCAATATTTATTACGCTAGACTTCCTTAAATGGGTCAGACCGGTGTTTTAAACTAGTCGGAGTTGTCTTTCAAACTGGTCCGAGTTGTCTTTTAAGTGGTCCGAGTTATCTTGGTCCTAGTTGTCCTGATTCCATTTTTTTTTGTACGTTATTGTTTGTTTTCAGTCGATATATATTTCGGTTATTAGACGTCGTCACAGGAACGTTTGCAATACGCCATTTTGTTACACGACATTGTTTTGTTTGCCGGTCCAAAAATGTTTCAGTCAACCAAAAGATCGTATGATTACGGAAATAGTGAGCATATTTCAAAGCTTAACATTCCAGAGTTTTGTCTGTTTAAAAGTTTCATAGCGTAGATGCCCAATTTTTCCAACCTTGACTCTCATAATTCATCATGTTCATTCCCAAATAATTGTTCACATAAATGTATTCCAGAATTCCGAAAAACAGACCTGTGCGAGCACGGGGACTCGTAGATATTATAAACATGATAAATTAGAACCTAACATGCTCTATTCTCAATGAAAGCAAAAATCAGCTTCTAATGAAATATGGTCGTAGTTGCACCACAAAATTTACCAGTGAGTACTGACAAACTTGTGCACCTGAAAATTTTAAAGGCATGGCTGGAGCACAGGCACTTGCCTCTTTAGAAATTACCTATATACTTTAATATCACACAAGGCATCTTACTTGGCATTGTTCTAGAAATGGCATTAGGTTGTGAGTTTCCTTTATGTTTTGATTCCACAGTTTTCTTTCACACTGAAACTTGTTATGTCCTATACATTTATCTACTTAGTTAAAATTATCTACAAGATGATGTATAACTTGCCTATTTCTGTTGGCGGAATCATTCAACAGGTTGGGAACAACCTCCCTAATGAGGGATAACCCCTTTTATGAGGGGTAAATTTCATTCAATTTCAAGTGATAACATTTTTTTTATTTAAACTGTATTCTGTAGGTGTCGCTGTTGACACTGGATTATCTCTCTTGTATATATTAAAGTCTTGCATGTACAATTTTTAAGTACAATAGGGCACATATTTACATTATTTGCAGAAACTTTTCACAAACATGACAAAGAACAATACACTATCTGGTATTATATCGACAAAACATGTCCATGAATTTTGGAATATTCATGGACTTCAATCTTCTTTATTATTTGTGTCTTTTAGAAAAGTTGTTCCAAATATCAGGGCTCACACTACTTCAGAATCATAGGGAGAAGTGACTTCTCTTTTTGAAACTGATAGGGAGAAGTGGTGAGATTTGAAAGAGAAGTGCTCCTTCGCGCGCTGCACTACAATGTTTGGTTTTTACTGCCTATAGTACAAACGGTCATATGTAAATAATGTTCTTTTTATATTGTTCAATTCATATCTGAGTATACAATTAAAGTAACAGTTCAAATTCAAAGTTGTTTAAGTTTGGGTTCTTGTGAGAAACTACCAACTAAATAATCTAGCACTAAAATTTATTTTTTTTTTTTTATGTCAAAAAGGTAAAGAAATAATATATCAATTACAATTCAATTAAAAAACTATCTTGTTTATCATGTTTATGAAATTCAGAGTTTCTGATCAAAAGATATACAAAGATAAGCTGGACCATAATATATTGATATAATAGTATTATAGTCCCAGAGTTATGCAACTTTAATCAATATTTTAAAACAATCCATATGTATGGAATTATATACATTAATCAAGTACAAAATGTAGATCTAACCAAAAGTCTGTTAATGCGTGTGGAATGCGTAATTTTTCCTTTTGGGATCAATATTCTTCTGTCAGCTGTTCCATTCATGCATCCGTGGTTATTATTGTAAAAATACGGATTTCGGTCATAGCTGGTCCGTTTCCGATCCGTAGTTAGTAAACAGTTAATGGCGGACGAAGAAAATTTACAAAAATAAATGATGTTTGACAAGCTATTTGGAAAGGAATATGACATTTTTAATGCAATAAATGGATTAAACTTTATCGCCCCAGTCGCCTGCTAGCGTGAGCCCTGAATATAATGAATTTTCCCCCTTTTAAGTTAAAAAGGCTAAGTTTTTCTTTTTTCTTTTCTACAATAGCAAAATAACCACTTTTCTGAGGGACAGTCCCTCATTTAATGGGGAGGGGGGGTGTTCCGAACCTGTTCAAAGCATGCCTTTCAAGTAGGGCAACCATAAATTATTTCGTCTTCTAACAGCCAAATGGCAATGTTAACATAGCATGATGCATAATGAATGTGGTGGGGTTTAAAAACATCTTAATGAGTGCTCTACCTTCCCCATACCTGGGAGAGTATTGTAACAGCACATGTACATTATGTGAACTTTTTAATACACATGCCTATTTTTTTTACCCATATTTGGTGGTTCAATGAACTTGAAAATGTGATAGTGTTAACAGGGAATTTTGTTCTATAAGGGTCTGGAATGGGGGTCCTTCATTTCTGTATTCCTTAATTTTTAAGACCATTTTTCTCTATTATTTATCTTGTCTGCCCATTGTTTTCTATTCATTACAATGTATATTTTAATACCCTATCTCTATTCTTTATTTATCGGGCCTTTATTCTTCACCTTTTGCCCATTGTTCTCTATTCTGTAAACCTTATCCGGACCCTCTCCTATGGACATTAGTAAAGGACACATACCATTTTCTTGTTCTATTCATTGTGCATTACAGTTTTACCTCACAAATAGATATAAGAAGATGTGGTATGAGTGCCAGTGAGACCACTCTCCATTCAAGTCACAATTAGTAAAAAGTAAACCATTATAGGTCAAAGTACAGCCTTCAACACACAGCCTTGGCTCAAACCGAACAGCAAGCTATAAGGGGCCCCAAAAATGACTAGTGTAAAACCATTCAAACAGGCATATTTGACTGAATCATAGTAACTTATACATTTATTTGATTGCAGATTTTACCTCAGCTGGACAACAGTCATGGGGGTCGGGATCCTCAGGTTCACCTGGTCCAGGACAGACAGAAGGAAGTGATAAAAAGAAGAAAAGAAAGAGTCGCTGGGCACAGGATTCAGAGATGGAGAAGACAGTTATACCTGGGTTACCAACAGTCATTCCTACAGGGCTTTCATCAGATCAAGAAAAACAGTACTTGAGTAAGTGTAGAAACATGTGAAAAATACTTTTTCTAATAAATACAATGTATATTTGTGCTTTAATTCTTAGCTTTTCAGTCATTTTTATCACAGAATTATTGGCACCAAAGAAATCTCTGTACCAAGAAGTTTTTTGATACGTTTCATTTTGTAATTCAGATAAATATATGAATATTGTAGGTACATGTTTATTTTCAGCCCGCTATCCAGACAGCTTAGCTATGAACACAGATTATACATTTGAAGGGAAGTTGTTGTTTTTTTCAGATATGAGTTGGTAATCTAATACATGAAGAATATAATAATAGTTTATTGCTCTTTGATTCAATAATCCTAGTTGGTTATTTATTTGATTTGATATTGTTACTTAACCAATGTAAGACTAGTTTGATATCACATAAAAATTTCACAACTATTACAAATATATCCATTCTCAATTTTATATATTACAAATGTATAAAATGTACACAATGATGAAGTGTTTATGAAAAACATTCATCAGTCGTGTTTTTATCAGTCTTTGTGTAGACATATCAGGGAGTTAAAAAGATTTATATTATGTTGATGTAACTATGTATTATTTTGTTCTTTTAAATTTTAGAGAAAATGGATCAGGTCTGGCTGCCAAGGAAAGCACTGATGCTGAAAATGTACTTTTTCTTTCTTTCTTTTTTTCTTTCTTTTTTTTTAAGTTTAATGATTTTAGGTTTTACATTTTTCTGGATTTTGAAAAGTAATGCATGGTAGTGCATTGTCATTTTTGTAAACAATATTCATATAAAACTCTTGTAAAAATGTCTCAGAAATTTGGCAGATACATGTTGATCATTGTTATTACAAATACATACAAACTAATAACATGAAAGAATGGTATGAATAATACAAACATGAAATAAAAGTGTTAACAGGAATCGAATTATGAATAATACAAACATGACATAAAAAGTGTTAACAGGAATCGAATTATGAATAATACAAACATGACATAAAAAGTGTTAACAGGAATCGAATTATGAATATGAATAATACAAACATGACATAAAAAGTGTTAACAGGAATCGAATTATGAATAATATTGACAGTACAACGTTAACAAATCAAACCAAAACCCAACTCCTCTGAGACATGTAGCCTGACTTGTTACAGGCACAAACTTTTCTCTTTACCTACATGTATCTAGACCATCTTATTTTGTAAAAGTAAAACATAGTGAAAAACCTGAACAGTCCAATAACCAACATGAGCAACAACTTACACATTAAAATATAAGACTGTATTCCTCCAATGCAAACATTTATCAATCGAAAGCAGCACAAGGAAAGTAACTTAAGAAGCCAAAGTTGTTGGTTGAATGCTGTCAATCAAGAAATAAAAAAAGAACACTTTAATAAGGGCTATTCCATTAAAATGCATGTGGGAGGGTAGGACATGAAGGAAGGGACTTTCAAAATATCCCTACAACCTAGAACCATTTTTTAGATAATTTTGCATAATGGTAATAGACACATACTGAAAAAAGACCCATGACCCACATTCAATAATTAAACTTCCCTTCCTACCCTCCCACATACATTTTAATGGAATAGCCCTAAACAAGTTTCATGATATCCATCAATAATTTAATTGAAATTGGTAGTATTTGTAAGACTCCATAGTTAACCAGGTACTTGAATGACAAACAGCCAATGAGCAAATATGAAATGGTTATTGTTTTATTTGTCTAATGATATAGTTTTGTTTTTGTGATTTAGTCAACTGAAAAATGGAAAATAATCCTGATCAGGAGAGACAACCCATGTCGAGGGAACTTCAACCATCAAAGTATCAAAGCACTGATCCATATGCCAGCAATTAGCAAAAAGAACTTAAATTAAATCATGCCTTTCATTTAAAATTTTGATTTATATTTGTAAATTTGATATAGTAACCTTTAAAAAAGGTACTTTGAAGAAATATTTTCTGAGAAAAGTTAAAACTTAAAAAATATTTTCCTTGAACACTACAAAAGGATTTTGCTTTCCAACTCACCTTCTCTTAGAGTAGGCATAGGCTGGCTAAAACTGCTACTCAGTCCAAAATGACCCCCAACCCCTATGGAATTTACATGCTGTTTCTTTGGTTGCTGTTTTATATCTTTAAAATATCAACATTTATCAGCATGGGAAATCATTTACAATCAGATAAGTATCAAATGGCAAAGATCAGAGTTTGATTTACTGAGCTTTTTCATTCTAAAACAATTTTTGCATTTGGTTGATTAAATCATTCTTATTTACAAAAGTACAAATTTCTTGGTGACTTTATAGTTAAAAAGATAGTTAAAAAGATTCTTAAAACTGAACTTTTATACTTCAGTTGTTAGAATGATTTGTCTACTCAAAGTTTGGGTATTTTATTTTAAATGTCATAAATATTAATATTAATGTATAATAATGACTACTGTTACTTTACAGTGCAACTACAAATTGAGGAGATTAGTCGTAGACTGAGAACGGGAGATCTTGGCATACCACCCAACCCAGAATCCAGGTTTGATTTCTGTAATATTGATGATTTTGACACAGGATTTTCCCACTGGTAGCCTCAAGCTTGGTGCTGTTATGCCTTTATAAAGAACTGCCAGTAGTAGAAAGCTAATTTGCATGTAGTTAATGGGGGCTTCCTCAAGGATAATCACAGTGTCAACGTAACAATTACAGTCGTGAAGAGATCTACTTTCAAAATACAAATTTTTATTTTTATGCATTCTCTTGAAAATTTTATTGTCAACAAATATTGTGATATTTGTTTGCTGCATAAAAAAATCTTTTGATAAATGACAAATTATTCACAAATTTTGAGATAAGGGCTGTTCCATTAAAACATACACAGTTTCCAGAGAAAGGTACTTTGAAAATAGAGTAACCACCCATAGAAGCAATATTATAGACCTGCTTACATTTTAAACATGTACAACATAATATTTCACACCAACCCATAATGGAAAATTCAAGTTGCCTTCCCTGGGTCTCATGAATGTTTTTATGGAACTGCCCTAAACAATTTTTAAGCGTCATTTGATTTAAGATTAAATATGGCTAACACAAATTCAAAAAGATGCCAAATGAGTTCTTTTTTGAGTTTTTTAAAGCATTGTTTTAGAAGTGACTTAAAAATTGTAAAATTTAAACAAAATTTGAAGAAAAAAATGATTGTATGGCCAAAGTTACTTAGTGTGTTTTTTTCTTCTCCAAAAGATCTAGACTTAACAGAAAATTCATATACCGGTAAAAAAAATGTTAATATTCATGTTCCATGTTCTTTGAGAATGTAATTTATTAACCTTTTGCATTTCATTGAAAAGGAAACTGTATTCACATTTTTCTATAAAAGCTTCTGAACAACGTATGAACTGAGGCTAGCAACATGTGACATGTATATATAAGGGGGTTTCCTTAGCTTCTTATGTAGCTCCAAAATGACTTTTGAATACATTTTCATCGAAAAGTAGTAAAAACAATGAAAGAAAGTAAGGGTGAGCAAACTTTTTGAAATATGTTGAGTTTCTGTAGCATTTACCTTGATCTTCTTTCATTCATGTATGTTCAGTATTTCACTGTTTGTTTGATTATCTAGAAAATCTCTTTTTGTTAGAAATTTCCTAAAAAAAATTACAGTTATTTTGGAGCTTCAATAATAAAACTGGCAGTTCTTTAAAAATTGAAGAAAACAGGTAATGTACAAGCTATTTTTGCTCATATATGATAATTTATTTTATTTGGTTTTTGCTAATGAAAGTTTCTTTGTTAATCATTTTTATTGTCAAATAATAAATTTCGCCCTTTCAGTTGAGCTGCTGAGAAGCACATCTTGTCCCTATCGGTTTAAAGAGACCCTTAATTTCAGACCTCGGTAATAAACAATTATATAATGAGAAACATTAATTTCAGAATTATTGTTGTGTAATATGACTAATTCATTTACAATACAATCATATTAAAAATTATTTGCAGTGCTAATCAATTCCTCAAAATTTCAGCATTAATAATCTTATCTTTTTTCCATAATATATTGAAATTCTTTTCAGAAGTATTTTAATCCTCTATTTACCAGTATTTAAATTTTGTGATCTTTTTGTCTAATGAGTTGTTAATGAGTTTGATTAGGTTGACTCCAGTAATGAGAGTTCTCTTTCAGAAAAGATTCAGTAATAATTGTGATCTATTTTAGACTACATGTTAATTTCACAGTATTGGGTGAAATATATACAGAATGATGGTTGTTTTAAAGTCGGGACAGAAAGTATCATTTTGAGTCCAACAGGACTAGCTGAGATACTTAATTTCTGTCAACTTCAAAACTGCTGATATTCTGTTAATTTTTTTACATCATAATCAATCTGAGGTCAGGTAACTCTTGGCAATATCTAAAAAATTACATATAACTTTGTATATCCAAGTAGTAAGGGGATACCGACAGAAAGAACACTGTCAAATGATAAAGTGACTGAACTATTGGTGCATCTTTTTGTGTTTATGTCAAACAGATAAACAAATCGTCAAAGAATGATTTCCCCTTGTAATTTGTGTCTTGTGTGTACAAGTGCATGGATAATGTTGCCTTCTAGATGTCTAATGGTTCTTTTTGTTCTTGGGTTGCTTTCCCATTGGAGATTGACACACCACCTTCCACTCTTTTAAATGAAATGATATCTGTTTAATAAGTCAGTTGCTTATGAATTTCTTTGTCATTATTCCCCAGGGTAAACTGTTGAACGGAATGTGCAAAATGGTTCTAAGTTCAGGAATAGTAAAGGAACACAGTTTTTAATGTGATGGAGAAATAGTCTGAATTATTATTTCCACTTGTAGAATTTTAATATTTTGGTGAGAAGGGGGGTGGGGGGATCTACACTATAGTCATTTACAAATTTATACTGATGTGACCAACACATTATGTTAGGTAGTAAATACATTCACTTTTTGGTTAGGAAAATTCCTGTCTGTGTGTTGGGTCAGAATATAATGGGGAAATATTCATCTAGTTACAAAATTTTTAAGACACTGTAGAACATTTGCAAATTATAATGGAAAAGTATATTTCTTCTATCCATGCTATCTAACATAGTGCATTTGGCATGCTTGAACATCTTCTTAAAAAAGCTGAAATCTTATTAAGTCTAGGTCAACATGATCAAGTGGTTAAAACAGAGCATTTAGTACTATGTACTTATGGGGTCATGCAGAATGAAAAATTCTGCAGGGTTAGGGTTAGGATTGCAGGGGGTGAAGGCATTTGGGATATACTGTGGAAAGGGGGGGATACCTGTTTTAAGAATTCCTCAGGCAGATAAAACAAATGCTGACAAAAATTAACATAATTTGATTTTAATATGAAACCAAGTTACCACACCAATCATTAAGTGAAACACATAAATTTTGTCTGTTGAAGCATTTTTGATACAATGATGCATATGAGATGGAAATTAATAGCGCCTCAGGAAATACACTTTTCTCTTAAATATATGCAAGTTTAAACATACAATCTTTCATAGACATCCTGTCTGTGTGTTGGGTGAGAATATGTAGGGAAAATATCCATCTAGTTTTATTATTTAATTTAAATTTTAATGTACCTGGCAGTTATATGTAAGATATTTACATCAGATAACAAAAATACACCTTAAACATCTAGCTTGCAGCCTTTTCAATGTAAACAAATGTTAAACTGGTACACTTTTGATTTACAAATGCATGAAGAAATATTTTTCTGAAACACTCAGATTTAAAATTCCATATTAAGTTTTATTCTCTTAATTAATAAATTCTATAATTCCATTCCTTAGAAACTCGCTTTTTGTTGAAATGCAGGATAATTGATGAAATTCAGAATTGAATAAAAACTTTTTGTAAGTTTAAAACCTTTCCAGATCTTGGAGAAATGTTCAGTTTTATATAAAACTTTTTCTAAGTTTAAAACCTTTTCTGATCTTGGATAAATGTTGCACACACAAGTCCAAATGGTGGTGGTATAACATGGTTTCACATTGTTTCATAATATCACCAAAGTGTTTTATTTATATTCCACAGATCTCCCTCACCAGAACCGATTTACAACAATGAAGGCAAGCGTCTCAATACAAGAGAATACAGAACTAGGAAGAAGTTGGAGGAAGAAAGACACAAACTGGTGCAAGACGCCATGAATAGTAACCCTGATTATAAACCTCCAGCAGATTACAAGTAAGAATTAGGGATAAGCCTATTAGGTAGAGAGAGGGCAAGGGACCAGCAGATTACAAGTAAGAATTAGGGATAAGCATATTAGGTAGAGGGAGGACAGGGGAACAGTTAGGGGGGAAAAATCAGCACTATACCAAAACGGATAAACAAAATATTTCGATTATTGTTTTGTACATAAATCAGGCCGTTAATTTTATTGTTTAAATTGTTTTACATTGGTCATTTTTGGGCCTTTTATAGCATACTATGTGGTATGAGTTTTGCTGAATGTTTAAGGCCGTACTTATGATAATAGTATGACCAATACTAACTTTGAACAGTGAAATGTGGTATATGCATATGTTTATTCTACAACTTGTAAAGCACCAATTAAAAGAGAAAAAAATCAACAATATTGAAAAACTAGACTGAGGCAGGAAGTCCTTGAAAATAATTAGATATACGTCGCATGAATATTATTGTATGAGGTAAACCATTATGTATTTTTTCCCATTTGTTTGTTAATGTTTGTTGACAGCTGTAAAGGCAAACAGTGATTGTTCAATAAAAACGAAAACCAGGAAAGAAAACAAAAATTTATCCATAAATTTGTATTTATCATGTTTTATGATTCTAGAATATAATCCTGTACTTATTTATTTCAGACCTCCCATTATACGAGTCAGTGACAAAGTAATGATCCCACAGGATGAACATCCAGAAATTAATTTTGTAGGACTTCTCATTGGTCCAAGGGGAAATACTCTTAAAAATTTAGAAAAAGATGTAAGTTTGTTAAATGACATCACCCAGGTGGAAATACTTGTAAAAATTTAAGAAAAAAAAGTAACTTTGTACCTCTGATGATTTGACCAAGGTGCAAACTTAGAGAGAGATACGTTTGTAAGAGTATTATATAGACTTCAGATACTTTTATATAATTAAGACTTAGGAAATAATCGACAAATAAAGTGCACATTTAAGTTTTGGTTGCAAAATTTCCAGTAACCTGGCATTATCTTATACATGCTTGGTATCAATTCTGATTTTGAAATAAAATGAGTAATTTTTTTTCTTCACAGTTTTATTAAATAGACATTATTGAGTAGAAAAGTGTAAATATGTTAATTGATATTTACTGGCATTTGACTTCGTTAAGATGGTTATAAATTACTGTTTTACTGGTCTAATTTATCCTGTGCAAGAAAATTTAGTTTGCAACAATCAAATATATGATTGGTGTTTTGCAAATTTAAAAATTCCTATAAAAATTCTATGATTGAAGTTTAGTCTAGTCATTTTTTACTGTAATAAAAAGACCTCTTTATATTTCTCAGACTGGTGCAAAGATAATTATCCGAGGGAAAGGTTCAGTCAAGGAAGGGAAGATAGGAAGGAAGGATGGACAACCATTACCAGGAGAAGATGAACCACTGCATGCTTATGTCACAGCAAATAATCCTGAAAATGTCAACAAAGCTGTAGAAAAGGTAGTGAATAGTTACGTCTCATTTGCACCCATACCATATCATATTTTAAAGAACAAAAGTTATTTTTCAATTGTTAAAAAGCATGACTGAGCATAATTTGTTCTTTTAACACAATTTAAGGCTATTCAGGGGGAAAGATGTGCAGGGAGGGGAAAACTTCTTAATGTTTTATGTAGCCTTGCATTCAAATTTAAATGGTTATTTTAGATCTTAAAACTTTTTTTTCAGAAACATAGTTTGCATCCAAATTTCTTAAAATGTGTTGTAACCCTTTTTGTCTTAACTGTAATGGAAGTCGCAAAGGCCAGCATCGTATCATAGGCGTTTGTCAACATTTAGGTTCAGTCTGAGATTAAATTTTTAGAAATCGATAACAATGTCAAACCCCATGGAAATTTGCACAGAAGATTTTTCGTGATCAAATGGCGGCATCCAGAGCAAAATTTTCAAAAATGCCTTTCTTCAATTTTCTGTTTTTACTGATAGATAGATTAAAAAAAAAAAATTGGGAGTTAACATTAAGATACAGTCTAGGGTCAACATTACACTTTTACACCAATGAGCAGTTTACAAATTTGTTTTTTTAAAGCCTTTATGAGGTATTGGTATTTATAGTTTTCCTTTTTACTGTCATGTATTTTTAAATTTAACAGATAAAAGAAATAATAAGCCAGGGCATAGAAGTTCCTGAAGGACAAAATGATTTAAGACGACAACAGCTGAGAGAACTGGCTTTACTGAATGGTACACTGAGGGAAAATGATGGATTAGCGTATGTATTTAAACAACTTTTGTAAAAATTAGCAGCCATGTGAAAGTAAGAAGAGTGTGAAATTATAACAAAATAAGACAGCAATCAAACAAACACAATTTCTGTGTGTTTTAAGGTTTATAACTTATAAACTATAAAAATGATAGCAGATGTACTTTAATATTTAAATTTACACATGATGAACTCAGAAAAACATTATCAAAAACAATGCATGGTAAATTTAGGAAATAACAGTATTGTATTTGAAGATTTATTGGGCATCAATTGGTTATTTGATTGTTGCAAATAGATATTCCAGTCGACATAAATCTTCAAATACAATACTGTCATCTGCATTCTAGTTCTATTGAAAGAAATCACTGTTAAATTTTTCATCTGTTACATGACGTCTATGCTTGTGTTTACAATTTCAGACCATCATTTTTTTATGCCCCTGCCGAAGCGGAGGGGGCATTAAGTTTTACCCTTGTCTGTCCGTACGTCCCAAAATTGGTTTCTGTTCTCTAACTAAAGTTTGCCTCAACCAAATGTTATCAAACTTATACACAATGCTTATTACCACAAAACACAGATCAAGTTTTGAATTTTGGTGGCGTCACTTTATTTAATACTAAAACTATGTTCTAGATCCAAGTCACCCAACTACCCATAGAAATGTATATGCTAGTGTGTTCAAAAGTTCTCAGAACATGCTTTTAATTTGGTCTAAGGGATATAACTCTTGTTACATAAAATAAACCAGTTTAGACTGCTAGGCTGAGTTCAAGTTGCCAATGAATTTAAGAAGTCTCCTAACTCACAATAGTTTTGAATTGTTTACTGAGAAATATTCTGCTTAATGTCATTAGTTCTCTAAATTCTCTGAAATTTTCCAACAATAAAAAAGGCTGCAATGATATGTCCATGTGTGCTGAAAGTGGCATTAAATACTAACAATTAATAAATCGATCTTTTAAATATCTACTGGTATGTGTTGTTTTTTTTAAGTTACAGCAGTTTTTTTTTTTACTGTTTATATAAGTTTCTTCTTACATTTTAATTTATTTTTCAGGAAACTAAAGCAGCTACAGCAAGCCTCCACTATCATCACAAATAATATTCTGTGTACAGTGTGTGGTGGAGCAGGACATTTGTCTCAGGACTGTAAATCTAAAAGGTATGGGCAAAAAGCTTAACATTAGTAAAACTGTGACTGTTTTCACAAAAAATCTTACGAGTAAAACCACTCGTAAGTCATGAACATTTCAGTATAACTTACGATCAATTTTATTAGTAAGATTTTTTGTGAAAAGAGCCTCTGTCTATTATCTTAATGAGGGTGGGTTGTACAAACTGAATATTGCTAAAGTAAAATTACACTTCCTTATTCTATGAAATATTATACGATATGTTTTGATTGGTTGATATCTTTTGTTAATTCCATGCTGGACGTATTAGTTGTTGGGCAATAGCAGCTGATACTTCTGGGATAACTCAATGTTTTATTTTAAACATGTAACTAGTATTGCATTAGATTAGGAGCTACAGTGCCGTGTTTGAATATTTGCCACAGGCAAGTTTGGATTTAACGTTCTCAATTATCCCTTTCATTGTCTCTGTGACAGTCAAATCCTCAATTGACAATGAGATTTTTGGCCAACATCATAAATGACATGTCTAGGTCAAATTCATAGAAAATGAATATTGGACTCGTGAGCACATATTTTATTATTTTATTCATAAAAATATTGATTTGTTTTGTGTAAAAAAACCATTTAAATGAAATAGCTTTCAAATGCACAACTGATGTTAAAATTTTGACATGTAAAATTGGACTTGGATGCAGATCTATGAACGTGGGTTTTAAGATGCTGACCTCTTTCAACACACTGGAAATCCAATGAAAAGGGTGTAGATTTGGCACCGTCTCAATTGGTTATCACGCTGATTCATAACTGTTGTTGGAATAATCCATTAAGTGAAGCTTGTGTTCAAGTATTAAAGTGTCAGATATATTTCTTTTGCAGACCAGGAGATACCCTGAAGAATTTCAGTATGCCGGCACACCAGAATTCAATGGCTGATAGAGCTAAAATGGACAGTGAGGTAGGAAAAAGTTTGATAAATTAGACAAAGATAAAAAAACTTTGTTTTATATTAATTTTTGTTGCTGTTTTAGGTTTCAGCACACATTTTCTTTTATTGATATAACGAGCTTTTTCACAAAAATAGGCCTTAGATATGATTCTAATGAAATATGATACATTTTAACATCAACTTTGGATGGCGTCTGTCATCAATTCTACTGTTGACCATCTGAGTTAGTCTTGGGCAACAACTTGCTAGCCGTCAATGTATTGTAAATGTTTAATTTTGAAAATTTTATGAGTATTGTATTAGAAGTTGTTTTGAATATATGCAAATTTTTAATGCTCACAAATATCGGAACTGGCACTGCTTCACATATGGTCTCATGTTAAACTACATTTGTGACCATTAATTGCTAATTGACAGAAGTAGAAAAAGTTTTCAGTTCTAGTAAAGGGGAGCATTATTATATTTGTGTAAAAAATTTATAGTCACAAAATGGGAGATAACTACATGTTAACATGATCAAATATACCAGCATCATCTCAAGTAGAAGGCTAAGGCTTCAAAATATTTCTGGATAAAAACCAGTGGCAGTTCAAAAGAAATTGTTTGCTTTGTTGTAAGAATAAGAATATACATTGAATGAAGTGGTTTGAAACAAAATTGTTGATGAATATCATTATAAGAGTTGTATGCACGGAATATTTCATTATAAAGCATCCAATGATTGCCCTAGGTCATTATCAAACGTCCACAGGAAAATAATTTAACCCTTGATTGAATAAAAAATAGCCTTATCTTTATTGTGCTGAATGATGCTTCATTCAAAGCATAAAGTGTGTAAGTAATTCAATGGTATTGACAAGTATTATTACATTAGCTGAACAAATAAAGCTGATTTTTTTTTTGGAATGTATACATTGTCTGTACCCCTGTGTATGGAATTTAAATTTTATGGTGTGTAAAAACAATTGATTGATTTGAGATAAAATTCAAAGTTGCAGACACTGCACGTGGCAAACCAATTGAAGTAGACATTTTGTTTGGTTATTAAAATTTTATATTTTGATTCGCCACAAAATCTTCCAAAATTGTTATTTGAAAGGTTTGCATGATTATAGTAGATAATTTAACATGTTTTGTGTATATAAAGTTATATAAATATTAATTATTTTCAGTACATGTCGTTGATGGCGGAGTTAGGAGAGGGACCAACATCATCACCTAAACCACTATTACCTTCAAATCAGCATAATCATCCGCCAACTCAGCAGTTTAGGTTGCCAATAACACAACCTCCTCCTAACCCAATGGTAAGTAAATCTGTAAGGTAGACATAATAATATGTTTTGTCTTACCTAGCTTTTTAAAAAAAACAAAAAAAACAATTTCCCACAGTTCAATAGTGGGAAATTACTGTAATAATAGTACTAGTGAATACTATATTATGCAACATCTTTAATATTGTTATTGAGCAGATGTTAAGAGGCAGTATATTCCCTTGTTGGTCACTTCTAGCCAAACATTAGACTGGACAACACTGAATAAAAGTTCAAAAATTCGTTTTAAATAATTTAATGTTAATATTTTCTATTTAACTTTTCATTCCTGATTTGTCATAGCTGAATATTTATTGTATTCATATACATGTGTATACATGTGTTTATTTATACTTTCTAAAGTATAACTCTCAAGTTGGTCTTTTGAGCATAGGGTTTTGGACACAGTTTTGTGTCATGTTCCAGTACATTTGAAATGTAGTCATTTGACTGCAGGGCCATTGATAAAGAGCAAAATATATATTTCTTTCACACATATGTAATTGAATTTTTTATGTACATCAGTTTAAGGAATAACAGTACTGAAGTTGAAGAGTTGCAGCAGACAATTGTTGATTTGGAGGTTGCAAATGCAGTTTTACTGGCGACGCATAGCGGAGACAGTAAATTGGATATTTGCAACCATCAAATGAAAATTGACAATAGGAAATCTTTTAACTATAGTACTAGATGAGATATCTTTGTTTAAAAAACTTAAAATACAATATTAAATCAATGTCAGTAATAGTATGTAATTTTTAGTTTGAGAATGAACAACTGTAATATATCATTAACAGTGAGAAACCCAGGCCTGGCTCAGACTTAGAAATCAACCAATAAAGAAACTGGATTTGGTGTTTCGAGCACAAATTTTGTACTCCGAGTAATGAGTGAAGTTTTATGATCAAGAGCCCTGGTTTGAAACATCAAGCTCTTACAATCTTTTCATTGATTGAGTGGCAATTGCTCAATGTTGTCAGCAAATATAGGCAACACCGGGAACAAAAACTATCTTTTTACAATTATATCACATTTTGTGTTGAAATCATTGATTTAACAATATACAATTAGTTGTATATCTTTCTTTTTTTTGTAGTCTTTGAATCCCCCATGGCAGCCTCATCAACAAAGGAACATTCCTCCCCCACAAGTGGTCAATATAACCAACCTTGGCGGTCAGCAGCCCAATCAACCCCCCAACAGCTACAACGTACAGCCTGTACCGCCCCCATCATCTGTACCATCATCGATGGTACCTGCTCCAGTGCCACCACCAAGCTCAGTGATGTCATCACAAGCTGGTCCAATGATGAGGCACTGGCAACAGCCGGTATCTTCAGCACCACAGAGTAAGTGGCAACAGCCATTATTGTCAGCACCACAAAGTAAGTGGCATCAGAGGACATGGTCAGAACCACAAAGTATGTTTGTTGTATGTAACCACCCCATATAAATGGGGGAAAAATGCTTCAATTATATTCAAAGTGGATGTAATATTTGGGGTGGCATCAATAAGTAATCTGTAAATAAATTCACCATAGATACCAGGCTTACACAGAAGCCAGACGCACGTTTTGACTACAAAAGACTCATCAGTGATGCTCAAATAAAGAAAGATTAAAAATGTAAATTATTCCATAAACAAACCACAAATTTAAGGGCAAGGAAAGATACATTGAATACACATATTATGAAAATATTGAATGCATACAAAACACAGTACAAATATGGTAGAAATGTTGGATGTTAATGGCAAAAAAATATGGTGTTCCATGTTCAAAGGGAGATAACTGCTAGAATCTTGAAATTTCTATTAAATGTACAGATGAAGGAATAACATGATTGCAATGTCAGATATTTTGAAAGGGAAGTGACAAAATGTATTTGGTATTAAAAGGTGTAAAAGTCACAAGATGGTCACAATTAGATTAAAGATTTTATTATTCTTTTGAATTGGCCTTTTTATTTAGATATTAATTGAACATTCTTTACTTATGAGGATTTTTATTTCAGACATGCAGCCTCGTCCTGCATTGATGTCGGCTCCTCCCCCTCCTCCTCCAAGCAGTCATCCTCAGCAATCACAGCCATGGATGCAACAGCCACCAGGTACATATCAGTTTTCTAAGAATACTGGAACAGGAAAAAGGGGGGCAAATTTACAATTAAACTGCATTTATTTACTGTGAAAGGGAGGCGAAAGATATCAAAGAGATATTCTTACTAATAAGTTGAAAAAAAATAGACAATGCCATGGCAAGAATAGAAAGAACAATCAAAAGACAAATAACAGTATACAAAACACAACATAGAAAACTAAAGACTGAACAACAAGAACCCCAACATAAACTGGGGGTGATCTCAGGTGCTCTGGAAGGGTAAGCAGATCCTGCTCCGTGTGTGCATATCAAGTCTTTGTAATTAAAAACTTCATTTTTTAAATTCTTTAATTCTGGTTCAACTAACTGAAGTTAAATTCCCCTTTAATAACTGTTTAAATTATTTAATAAAGTTTATTTAGGGGACAAGGCAAACTTTGTAATCTTAGATTCTGGAATTGTCAAATATTTGAAACATTTCTTTTGATTCTTTTTAGTACAAGGAGTTCCTCCTCCGCCTCCAGTGACATCATCAACAGGACAGTTACCGTGGCAACCAGCTCCACCACCACCACCATCAAACATGTCTCCATGGCAACAGCATCCGCCACACCACGGACATCAACAGCCAATGCAGAATCAGCTTCCTCCTCCACCACCCCCTCCCAGTAGTCAGCAAGGATACAATCACATGGCCCCACCCCCACCACCACCAGGAGGATATAATATGGGTGGAGTCAATCAGCTGTTAGCCCAGCCACCACCACCACCACCAAACTGACAGATAAACATTGTACTGGACTGATTCATCAAAGTTTTAAGACATTTGTACATGAAATTCATGGTGATTTAACTGCATTCTGTGGCTACAGAGATAAATCTGGAATTGACTGTCTTCTTATTGAACTAAGATATTTATTCAGGATATATTATGTAGAATTGACCAGTATCTTATTTGAGTAAGATATTTATAAATGCCATTTAGTAGAAAATTAAAAGTCACTAATTGTCTATTAGAAATGGGTAAATGGAAAAATACTGTACAATCTGTTTTGTAACAGGTTATATTAGTAGTTGACAGATTGTAGGCTCATATATAAAGATAATTCTTCTGGTAGATATACATTAGATTATTCTGTGGCACTGGTGGATGAACCATAGGTCTATTGTTGCTAAAAGCAGAAGGATCAAGGGTCAAATATTCTGAATTTATTTCTTCTGATTTGAAATTTGACATCTATTTATATTATGCCAATCAGATCTCTGTAAAACTTCTTCATGAAACAATCAGATGGAAGTATGTCAATTTCAATTAAATCATTATTTTGTCATAATTTTAGTAGTTGTCTTAATTTTATTAATAGAAGTATCACACATAAACAACACAGTTAAAAGAGCATTCAAAACTAAAAACTAAGTTTTCATTTGAATTCTGTGAAAGTTGTTATTAAATGTAAATGAAACTAGTTTTTATTGTAACGTAGTCCTACACAAGGCTTACAAAAACTTTAAACATGACACTCAACTGCGACAAAAGTCGCAGTATGCGGGACATAGGTTTTACTATCGAGCGGTGTAGAATTTTTGTATAAAGCTTTATATTTCAGAAGGTAGAAGCTTCGTATTTCTCATTTTCATGGTTCAACGACTGCTTAAAAAAAATTGAGTTTTTTTGTCATGTGAATTTCTCACTTATGAGTAATAGGATAACCATATTTGGTATATGGGTTCCTTGCAACGTCTACATGTCCATGTCCGTCATACAGGGTTCACCTGACGTTGACCTCATTTCATGGATCAGTGATCAAGGTTAAAGTTACGTGATTTGGTCCGTTTTTCAAATACTTTAAGCAGCAGGTCAGCTATATGTGGTGTATGGAATGACTGTAATGGATACATGTCAGTCTGGCAGGTTTTATCTGACCTTGACCTCATTTACATGGTTCATTGGTCAATGTTAAGTTTTTGTGTTTTGGTCTGTCTGTTTTCCAAGTAGTATAGGCAACAGGTCAACTACATTTGATGTATGGAATGATTGTAATGGGTACATGTCAGTCTGGCAGGTTTCATCTGACCTTGACCTCATATTCATGGTTCATTGGTCAATGTTAAGTTTTTGTGGTTTGCTCTGTTTTTCAAGTACTATAGGCAACAGGTCAAATATATTTGGTGTATGGAAGAATTGTAAGGTGTACATGTCTGTCTGGCAGGTATCATCTGACCTTGACCTCATTTTCATGGTTCATAGGTCACTGTTGTTTTTTATACGACAGCCAAAAAAATTTTGTGGTCGTATATTGGTATGACGTTGCCGGCGGCGTCGTCCGAAGACACATTGGTTTTCGCACTCTAACTTTAGTTTAAAGGGAAAGTCCGCGATTTTTTACTTATCATCTAAATATGTTCATCTTAACATAAAAAACACATTCACAAAGTTTTAAATTTATATTCTTTTTAATAACGGAGAAAATCAAGTATTTGTAACTTTTTTGGTTGACCTACGTCACTGGGTTGTGACGTTTTAACCCGATTTGTTGAATCATGGGAAAAAATAAAATCTGTTAAAGTCTTAATTGCTTATCAGAATTTTACGTAATTAAAAGCGCACAGATGACAGTTGGTCGTAGTTAATAACCACAATATAAGAATGAAAGAAAATGAATATGTGTGTACCGTTTTGTATTGATTGAATAAAACTTCCTATATGAAGTTATCTAAATATAAATATTTTCGAATTAATTTCATAAATTATTGTTGAGATTTTTTCATAAAATATCTGTTGAACACTTTGACTGATATTAAACTGAAAATATTTTACGTTTTATTTACCGTTATAACTTTGGTAACCATTTCAAGGCAAAATATTTGTGAACAGAGTGTGTATATTATTTTGTAAAGTCATTGTTTATTTATCGATTTGAGGAGAATTCGTTTGAACTTTACCTTGCAGCAATTTAGCCTCAGGCGTACACAGGTGTGAATTCAAGCGTACACAGGTGTGAATGTTGTCATTTTGAATGGATTAACAGAAAGAGTATAGCGTGTTTAATACACCAAGCTGAAATACCCGATGACAATAGAGAAACAATAATTAAAATGTTTAAATTAATTGAAAATAAACATTCAATTTTTTTAATTCCGGAAGTGTAAATTTGAAATGGAACAATTTTCGATTACGCTCTATATGCAATTAGCATAAAATTAAAATATGAAGTTAAAAGAAAATTAATTTTCAACATTTCCCAATAAATAATTGCACATCTGTTTAATTTACTTTACCGGAATTCTTTAACTTGTATTTAAATCTGGCGATGTTTAAATGCTAACAATCGTAAAACGTTCGCAATTTAAAAGTTTTTATTGAAAAAATACAAAAGTACAACATGCATGATTTTTTATCTTCTTTTTAAAATTTCATTCCTACATAATAAATTCAACTAACAATCTCTTAGAATAATTATTTGTGAAAAGAATGCCAATTATCATTTATTTCATTCATTATAAATCTAAGCTATTAAAATAATTGTTTATTCCGTCTGGAAATTTTTATTTTCTTTTTTTTTCTTTTGATCTGTTTTTGTATGAGGTGTTCTAATTGTCTTTAACGGTTTGGACATATGAAAATTAAATATAATCATTTTTATATTATATTATAATTTAGTGTATGGCACTACAGGGTAGCCGTCATTAATCCAAAATAGTAATTGTAGTAATTAATGGCATAGCTTAGTAATGTATTGCTGACAATGACGATTTTAGAACAGTTCGTCTCCTTGAAACAAGCTGTACTAGTATACTTTTCCTGAGGTATAAGCGCCGTTGAAGACGAGCTCCAGATGTTCTTTCTAAAGGACAAAGCAGACTAATAGCGTATCGTTCGTTTGTTTGTTGGGTCAGGGGAGGCCAACCACTTACCCAGAAAAACAGAATCACCATACAAGCATAGTTCTCAACACTTTCGGAAAAGAGTTCCTATCGTCGGATGGGGTACACGAATGCTTCCAAGAATGAATAAGTGACATGTCTGACTCTGAACAGTCAGTAAACGAACTAAAAAATGATCTACAGACATCGACCTCTTATTCTTGATATCATAAACTGCATGCATGTACGTTTATGAGAGCGATTATTTATCTTGTACCTGACGAAAACTTAATGCCTGCATGGTTATGTATCTTGCTATACGCTTTTATTGGTTTGGTGTGTGTTCACTCAAAATCGTAATTCAAAGATAATGTTTGTGAGATGTAATTTCAATTCTCAATACCGAATTTCGTCTATATATTTCACAAGTGTTTACCACTGAGAAGCTCCGATTGTATATAATTCCTTTTTTTTTTGTGTGGACCATCGTTGTTAACAGCAATATTTGATGAAGCAGATGATGATAGTAGAAGGCAATATGAGCGTATTATTTATCTTGTGTCTGACGAAAACTAAATGCCTGCATGGTTATATCTTGCCATTTTGTATTGGTTTGGTGGGTGTTCACTCAAAATCGTAATTCAAAAATTGTGTTTGTGAGATGTAGATTCACTTCAATAACGAATTTCGTCTATATATTTGTGACAAGTGTATACCACGGAGAAGCTCTAAAGGTATATTACTCCCATTTGGTTTGGGTGTGAACCATCGATGTTTACAGCAATATTTAATGAATAAGATGATGACAGTAGAAAGAAATATAAGCGTCATGTGGCAAATATTACATAAATGTCGGACTATGAGTTATCTATCTCTATGAAAAAATTCAAGTTCCAATACAACCATATTGAGTAGGATGTTTACATGCTATACTCGAGTCGTACTAGTATACAGGCTTCTCATGTCGCCGTTTGACTCAGACACACATCTTTTACTTTAAGATGTATGAAAGATTCTATATATATATTAAATGTAACAATAATGAAACGCCTACAGGCAATAACTAAACGGGTATGAAGTTTTTATACAGATTTATTCTTATTTACATAATCATTAACAAACTAAATAAATTGAACAAAGAAACACAGTGACACTACGATATAACAAATGGGATACTTAATTATTTTTAACCATGCTATGCAGAAACTTAACACATCAAGTTAGCGCACGTGAATACCAATTTGGAACACGATGTGTGATTTTGTATAAAAATATCAAAGCGAGCAGTAACTTTGTCTAGCAAACATTTTTTTACTATGCCTCTCTTTATCTCGTTTCCTTTACAATACTATTACCCTTTTCTTCGATCATTCTCTATGTAGTATAATTTTCTCTAATCTGTTATTTTTTTTTCACTATGCCCCTCTATCTCCGTTCCTTTACACTGACTGTTTCCCCTGTCGTTCTAATCCGTATAAAGATAGGGACATTAGACATAGAAGGAGCTCTCTTATCGTAATAAATAAATATTTGATACTGACTATAAGTGCTGCATTACTTTATACTGCATGTTTGCCAATCGTCAAAAGCTTGCATTTGCGTGAAGAATTTTTTTTTCAAAAGAAGGGTCCAGAATCATGACAAAACAGTATATGTATTTCACAAATTTTTTTAAAGATCATATTTATAAAATTTTTAAACTTATTATCAGCTAAAATAGTGGATAATATTATTATCAGAACATCATTCATTAACAGGTGGAATTATAATTTCAAACACGCACAAAATAAATAACGTCGAGCACAAATATATGTGGTTCAATAAATGTTACCTGTGCACGTCGGGTACCTCAATTAAGAAGCCATGCATGAACCTGTATAATATATTGTGTAATAGGAATTTTTAGTCGACAGGATGTCACTGGAATAACCAAGGACGTGTATCTAATATACGTCCTTGGGATAACTAACTGAATGTGTCGCTCTGACACGACATCTATCAATAATTCTGACATACCTATTATCAATTCGGGAGGAAGCCAATATATATATATATATATATATATAATAAGATAATGTAAATAAAATTTAAAAAGAAAAAAAAAATATACATTTTTTCCCAAACATACCAGATAGGGTCACACATTTAACTGTAAAGTGTCTTTATAAGTGACTTTTCCGAATTGATCCCGTATCAATTTGATATAGTTAAAAGTTTAATTAAAAAACTTTTTTGATAACAAATTGAGATGTCCAATATTTCGATATTTACATTTCTATAACCTGGGAATATTATACCATATCAACATATTTTGTCTTAGCTAAAACCTCTTCCTAACATTGCTCCCCGTCAATATCCGTTAAATATCATAATTTAAAAATGTTATTTATCGTATAACTTTATTAATTTGAAAAATTATCTTGACTAAATACGGAACTATTTATATAAACCAATGCACTTTACTACATTT